CAATCATCTCAGACTGGTTTCTTGAACATGACGATGAGTTCACTGTACTCAAATGGCCTCCACAGTCACCAGATCTCAATCCAATAGAGCATGTGGTAGAAAGGGAGATTGGCATCATGGATGTGCAGCCGACAAATCTGCAGCAACTGTGTGATGCTATCATGACAATATGGAGCAAAATCTCTGAGGATTATTTCCAGTAGCTTGATGAATCTCTGACATGAAGGATTAAGGCAGAAATGAAGGCTAAAGGGGTCCGACCCGGTACTAAAGAGGTGTACCTAATAAAGTGCCCAGTGTGTGTATGGAGTGTATAGTGTGTACGTGCACTTACCTTGATATGTCTGAGGCAATCTAAATAAGCCCCTGAGCTCTACATGGAGTGAACACAGTAAATATGACTGCATGTATGCGCATACACACGCACACACACACACACACACACACACACACACACACACACACACACACTATAATCTGCGGTTTTCCTCCACATGAAGGCCAGGACGCAGGCTTTCTTTGCCCCGGTGAATGTAAAAGGGTCAAGGGCAGCAGCAGAACACCACTGAATAAACAGACACCCACTGGAATAAGAGATCTTCAGGATGATGATGATGATGAAGTGCTGGAATATTACCTGCACCATAACTGAGCTTATCTGACACTATACAGGTTAGTCTGAACGGCCATGATCAGAAGATTAATCAATAACCCAGATTCTGAACTGTGATCGACCGATGAGAGCGCAGCTTGTTAAACTGCAGACTTTGACCGTCAGACGCGTGTTCTCGGACACATCAGCTCTGCAGACTCTTTTTCCATGCCGAGTTAATGGAGGACAGGATTAATGAGGGCACACACACACAGGCTCAGAGTCTGCCTCCCGGTGCATGCTGGGAAACACATGCAAAATCTGCCACCAGATATACAACAATCATAAGTGTGCATAAACCAACAGGAGCGGAGCCTGAGAGAGAGAGACACACACCTGAGTGACAGCTGTCAATCAATCAATCAGAGAGTGAGCAGAGAGCATCAGTGATGGAGAAGCAGCGCTGGTGTCCTACAGGAATAAGCTGTAATGCTCTGTGATATGATGCTGTCAGATAAGCAGCTCCACGCTCCTGAACACTGATGGACTGCAGTGTCCTCCACAGCTCTGTCTGACTATACTCAGCGGTATAGTGTCACTGATGTGGTCTGATTTCACAGTGCATTGTGGAACTTTTAGTTTCGGTTTCAGCGCACTGGAAGAACTTTACGGTTGAGACAGCATTCAAAATGGCTGACGCCCTGATCAGTGCACTGACTAGTGAACAAGGGTGTTGACTGAGACACACCCAGGAATACCTGTGGTTTTCCCTTAGTTTCCTCTTCATGATGACAGCACATAATATTAGACTAGATATTCTTCAGACACTAGTGTTTAGCTTACAGTGACATGTAAAGGCTTCACTAGGGTAATTAGGGTAAAGTTAGGGTAACACTGTGGAAATAATCATTTGTAAAATAAGTGTAATTTGAGAGGAGGTCTTCAACTGTGCTGTGTAATAATCTCATTATGATGAGCTGTGATGTACATATTGCAGTCAGATCCTCATTGTGCTGTGCTGTGCTGTAGAGGTGTGTGTGTGTGTGTGTGTGTGTGTGTGTGTGTGTGTGTGATGCTGAAGTGCTGTTCAGCTGATTCAGTACGCGACTGATCGACACTGTATAAACTATCATCACATACTCGACATGTGCGCTATTATGCTGTCGAAATCAAGTAAACAGGATGAGATTATGGAGGGTGAAGGCTGTGTTATGGTCGAGTTTTCCCTCAGGTAACCCTGCAGCACTGTATTACAGTATTCCAGCACACTCAGCTCGGTCAGGAATATGACTGTACAGTAAATACACGACACGATGAGCCGGACGGACTCTGCGCTGCATGTTTACTCACTTCAGCGCGGTTTGACCGCAGGAGAAACTCAGGAAATCAGCGGCTCCTCCGCACTCCTGCAGGCGCGCACAGTCACTCTGAGTCCCGCAGCAAATCCTCCAGCAGACGCGGCCCTGGCCCCATGTTCACCACGGCAGCCATCGTTTCCGGCTTTCCATCCGTGCGACGGTAGCGACCTCTGAACTTCCTTCGTCATCCGAGCTGCGCAGCCCCGCCCACTGAGGAGCTCGCGCTATAGTCATCTCCACTGAGAGCTGATGTAGACATCCATCAACACAACCCTAACATTCCCTGACCCTATAGTGAATAACAATACTACTGTCATCTATAGTGAATAACAATACTACAGTCATCTACAGTGAATAACAACACTACAGTCATCTCTAGTGAATAACAATACTACAGTCATCTATAGTGAATAACAATACTACAGTCATCTATAGTGTATAACAACACTACAGTCATCTATAGTGTATAACAATACTACAGTCATCTACAGTGAATAACAACACTACAGTCATCTATAGTGAATAACAATACTACAGTCATCTATAGTGAATAACAATACTACAGTCATCTATAGTGAATAACAACACTACAGTCATCTATAGTGAATAACAATACTACAGTCATCTATAGTGAATAACAATACTACAGTCATCTATAGTGAATAACAACACTACAGTCATCTATAGTGAATAACAATACTACAGTCATCTATAGTGAATAACAATACTACAGTCATCTATAGTGAATAACAACACTACAGTCATCTATAGTGAATAACAATACTACAGTCATCTATAGTGAATAACAATACTACAGTCATCTATAGTGAATAACAACACTACAGTCATCTATAGTGAATAACAATACTACAGTCATCTATAGTGAATAACAACACTACAGTCATCTATAGTGTCATCTATAGTGAATAACAATACTACAGTCATCTATAGTGAATAACAACACTACAGTCATCTATAGTGAATAACAATACTACAGTCATCTATAGTGAATAACAATACTACAGTCATCTATAGTGAATAACAATACTACAGTCATCTATAGTGAATAACAATACTACAGTCATCTATAGTGAATAACAATACTACAGTCATCTATAGTGAATAACAACACTACAGTCATCTACAGTGAATAACAACACTACAGTCATCTATAGTGAATAACAATACTACTGTGATCTATAGTGAATAACAATACTACAGTCATCTATAGTGAATAACAATACTACAGTCATCTATAGTGAATAACAATACTACAGTCATCTATAGTGAATAACAATACTACAGTCATCTATAGTGAATAACAACACTACAGTCATCTACAGTGAATAACAACACTACAGTCATCTATAGTGAATAACAATACTACTGTGATCTATAGTGAATAACAATACTACAGTCATCTATAGTGAATAACAATACTACAGTCATCTATAGTGAATAACAATACTACAGTCATCTCTAGTAAATAACAATACTACAGTCATCTATAGTGAATAACAATACTACAGTCATCTATAGTGAATAACAATACTACAGTCATCTATAGTGAATAACAATACTACAGTCATCTATAGTGAATAACAATACTACAGTCATCTCTAGTGAATAACAACACTACAGTCATCTATAGTGAATAACAACACTACAGTCATCTATAGTGAATAACAATACTACAGTCATCTATAGTGAATAACAACACTACAGTCATCTATAGTGAATAACAACACTACAGTCATCTATAGTGAATAACAATACTACAGTCATCTATAGTGAATAACAACACTACAGTCATATATAGTGAATAACAACACTACAGTCATCTATAGTGAATAACAATACTACAGTCATCTATAGTGAATAACAATACTACAGTCATCTATAGTGAATAACAACACTACAGTCATCTATAGTGAATAACAATACTACAGTCATCTATAGCCAATAACAATACTACAGTCATCTATAGCCAATAACAATACTACAGTCATATATAGTGAATAACAATACTACAGTCATCTATAGTGAATAACAACACTACAGTCATCTATAGTGAATAACAATACTACAGTCATCTATAGTGAATAACAATACTACAGTCATCTATAGTGAATAACAATACTACAGTCATCTATAGTGAATAACAATACTACAGTCATCTATAGTGAATAACAATACTACAGTCATATATAGTGAATAACAACACTACAGTCATCTATAGTGAATAACAATACTACAGTCATCTATAGTGAATAACAATACTACAGTCATATATAGTGAATAACAACACTACAGTCATCTATAGTGAATAACAATACTACAGTCATCTATAGTGTCATCTATAGTGAATAACAATACTACAGTCATCTATAGTGAATAACAACACTACAGTCATCTATAGTGTCATCTATAGTGAATAACAATACTACAGTCATCTATAGTGAATAACAACACTACAGTCATCTATAGTGTCATCTATAGTGAATAACAATACTACAGTCATCTATAGTGAATAACAATACTACAGTCATCTATAGTGAATAACAATACTACAGTCATCTATAGTGAATAACAACACTACAGTCATCTATAGTGAATAACAACACTACAGTCATCTATAGTGAATAACAATACTACAGTCATCTATAGTGAATAACAATACTACAGTCATCTATAGCCAATAACAATACTACAGTCATCTATAGTGAATAACAACACTGCAGTCATCTATAGTGAATAACAACACTACAGTCATCTATAGTGAATAACAATACTACAGTCATCTATAGTGAATAACAATACTACAGTCATCTATAGTGAATAACAATACTACAGTCATCTATAGTGAATAACAATACTACAGTCATCTATAGCGAATAACAATACTACAGTCATCTACAGTGAATAACAATACTACAGTCATCTATAGCCAATAACAATACTACAGTCATCTATAGTAAATAACAACACTACAGTCATCTATAGTGAATAACAATACTACAGTCCTCTATAGTGAATAACAACACTACAGT